CAACTTTACCAGCCTGACTCTGATGTAAAGAAAGATGCAACCCGCGAACAATAAGTTTTGCTTGAATTACATAAATGAATAAATTTCTGAACAAACCAAAGTCTGAATAAACTTCATACGACAGTTAGTGCAGTACGTAGTCACTACTCACTAGGGTTACGGTACAAAAAGTCATAAGAAGGATGAAAATGCAGTCACAATTTATATTTTTGAGAAGTCACAAGAAGGCGGAACATTCAAGATCAGCCTGACTAATTTCAATTCAGGATCCTGCTTGTTCTTTTGATTGTGCCCTCAAGTTTGTTCGCCAATACCTGGTTAAGATCTTATTGATAATTAGAAGAAAGTCACTCAACCTGTTATTCACATTTTGCTTATCTCATTTTCCATAAGGCAGATTTACCGACTTTTAGATTCGTTCATTTGCAATTTTTATTTTTCTACAGGATGCTTAAACAGCTGAACTAATAAGCCTGTATACTCTTCAGCTCCTAATTCCACGAGTTACAGTGTAATTCTGTCTTTACCAGAATAGTTTCTTCTCTTCATTTGTTTTATTGTACGTCGCCGCTCTTCTGGCAAAATATTTGGTATTTTTGCCCCTTGATTTGTTTTTCAGAACATCCTTCGTTGTAGAAGGCATCACATTTTTCATTTTTTCGCAGTTTTCTGTGGTCATTTTCCACTACGTTAGAGACCAATCACCTGCTATAACCTTCCATTGAAGTTGCAATCACGTCTCCTACTTCTGCAGCCTAAAACCTGTCTGAATCAGTTTCTTCATAATTCCGGCAGCCCCTATTGGGCACCCAAACCACGTAAGAGTTTTGATTCCAGCATATTCAAAATTGCTGTGAATCCATCCACTTTCACGCTTGTTCACTTTTCGTTCCATGTTGTCTTGTAAGCCAAAACTCTACGTCACCGTCAGTCAATTGCTCTTTGTCAAGCATAGTCGTTCATCAAACACTTGAATCTCATTAGATATAACAATAGTTTTCAGGTAGTTCGTCCTGTTTTCCTTCGAAGCTCATTCGCAAAAAGAGGGTCGGCGACTGGTTGCTTTTGTTTTTTTTATCACCTGGCCATGGAATACCGCTACGTTCCTGCCTTGGAGTGCAAGCATGAGGAAAACAGGCGTACGACTTCGACTTGTTGTTTCTGCGTCAACCAAAGGCCAATGGATTGAGCTTGATTAATTAATATATCTCAACGGATGGTCGGCATTTTTCAATCATTAGCCGCCATCAAGCTCTATCTTTCCTTGTTATTCTCTGATGTCTTCGGTAGCAGCGAATCAACGGATCAATATGAGCACAGCCATTGCTCGGCATCTCGCTAGCCCTGGAGTGCCAGCAACGTCAGCAGGAGTTGGCACGCGACAGCAGTCAGCTGGCCTACCTCGAGAAGACATTTTATGTCGCTGAAGGAGAGAAGGTGTGTACTCCCCCTTCCTCCCGTCACTTCATACCGTAAGCCATATTCGATCAGTTTTAGTTGAGAAGTTGGCGGGGCGAACGAAGGCTTCGTCGATCCACCGCACGAGGAACAAATACGGAGACACCAGGAAGCTGAAAGCGGTCGTGCCAGTGGGTTGACCAGGCGTATTTTGATGTTACGCTTTCCGACGCGAGCCATCGATTATCACTATGTTTTTAGGCTGCTAACTAACTAACTAACTAACTTCTAGGCGGCTGGTTTGAGGTGGATGAGTCACGACCTGTTCCTTTTTCGAACGCAACTTTTGTTCTCGTTGATTAGCCGGGAGCAATGGTAATTCTTCGCGAGAAGAAAGTACCAACCGAGAGGTGTGCGAACTCTCTGCCAGCGCAACTGTCTGCCCTCGGGATCGGACTCGCGCGGATAGCTTCAGTCAGCGGTCCTGACATGACTAGTGGCTCTTTAATCTTACCGAATGCAACGCTCTGACCGGAAGCACTCAATTTTCGATATTGATCACGACGATAACAACGTTGTTTGCCGCGGCCATTTGGGGCAGTATGACCTCACCTACATTTCCCTCTCATTGACTTGCGGAACAGTATACATAAACGGAACGGTCAATGAGCAAAATAGCCGAATGTGTGACAACGCAAATTTGGTTTCGAATAGTTCTTTAAACACGGTTTCATTATACAACAGTGTTGATGAATGCATACAACAAAATTACTTACGAAAGTTTGTGGTAAATAGCAGATCTGACGTGTTGAGAGTAGTATTAGAGAGTCAGAAAGCAGAGTAAACCAGATTTATGACATCTGAAGGTTTGAAATGGCAATTGAAATTAATATTAGGCAAGGTTCACTGCTCTGACAAGGCTTATATTCCTCTTCGCAAGCAGGTCTGCCTCGTCGAGATTTTGCCACGTTTTATGTTGTCCTTCCGAGCGTCTGTGGCCAGTGCGCGGTTCCCAAGAGAGGAATGTTGTTTTGAATATATTTCCATTTTCTTTTTGAGCCGTTTCATGAACTCAAGCCAGGTTCCGGTCTCTGAGTTCATCTGATAGTTTTCTGTCGCCAGTGATCGTCATCACCTCCTCGTTCGTGACTCCAGTGGTGCCATCGCACTTTAGGGATGCTGCGCAGAAAGCATCGTAGGAAGCTGTCTAAACAAGCTTCATAACGCTTCAGAATTGCGGATGTTTCGAGACCGTACGTGAGCTGTGCAAACACGATGCTTTCAGACGATCGAGCTTCTTGTGCATTCTCACAGTATGACCCTTCCATGTGTCATACCGCTTGCCATAGTTCGTTTATGCCCGTCAGACACGCCGATTTACTACAGGAATAACGTCAGCGTCGTTAGTAAACAAGCAGGTATGGTCAGCCAAGGTCTGTCTTGAACACTGCAATCAATTAGTTCGAGTAGTTTTTCTTAGGGGGCGAACAGATGGTTTCGTACTTAAGGCAAATATGAAGACATTTCGCTAGACCCTTGGCGAATTGAAATGTTCCTTGACTCTGCTGGCATTAACATGCGGTGGTATGTATGCATTTCTTCTCAGAAGAAGAGCATGATTTATATCACATATTTCTAACGTCTTTAACTATGATCTTCTGGCTGGAAATATTCTCACGCTGTGCACTTGGCAGCAATTACTCGGACGTCCCAAAAACGTGCCCTTACAAGGATTTCCGTTTAATGGCAACAATACACATACACGGCAGTTTACAAAAGTGAACGATTCTTATCGAATGGCATTGCCTTACAAATTTATTATGAATAGAATCTCGACGGCTTCAGAATACACTCGATTTATCCTCAGTGAGTAAAATCAAACAAAGCAAAATAATTAATAATTT